ATATGGAAAAATAAAAATCAAGTTTAAGTCATTTTATTCGACTTTACGTCTGTCCGCCACAAATATTGAAGTCGTAATATCACTAGATAAACGTTTAAAGCACATAAAATCATATTAAAATATATACAAGTATGTACTGTATTTACAGTACACGCATTCGTAAATTTAGATTACTTTTTTTGTACTATATTAAAAACTAAAATTTATTTGTTTGTAAGCTTAAAATAGATTTTTATTAACCATATATTATTTAAAATGCTTTCCTAGTGATAAGTAGATTCGGAGACAGGTAAATTCGACTTACGTCGTTTTTCGACTTACGTCGTTTTCCTGGAACCAATTACCAACGTAAGGCGAGGTATACCTGTATATTATAAAAATAGCAGATTGTCATTGGCAATGGCAAAAGAGTGGAAACATCATTCGCACTTGTTCGCAGAAAGTCCATTGTTTGCCTCACGTAACTGCCAAACAGAAAGTCTGTTGTTCACAGCATCCATTGTTCGAAGCGTACATTATACGAGGCGCCACTGTATTTTTAATTTACTTAATTTAAAATATATGATGAAAACTCTACCTCAAATTAGTAATGTCTTGCCCCTGTACATCATACTTTTCCTGTTAGAATAGTGATGCAAGTCATCTATCTAACTCCTTTTAGGAGAAAATTTTTAAATTAAAATAACATGACTTCTGGTTTGCATTGAAAATTTGTATATAGTTAATCAGGGTCTCTTGCCCCTAAGATTTCCACATCTGGTCACAGCTTTCAACTATTTAACTCTGTTCTCAAGATTAAGGAAAGACAAACAGACAGATGGATGACTGGGAATTTATAGATCTACAGTTCTTTTTAAATTGCAGCCCAAAAATTTGATAAATATTGTTAACAGTTCTTAGTAATAAATTCTTAGTGATGAATTGATTTAAATGTAGTTACTTTGTAATTTTGAAAAATTAGTAATTGTATGTTTATATATAAATAATGTTGTTATTATTATTCTTAATACAATTAAAAGATTTAAAAAGCAAATTACTAGAAGGAAAATATCATACTTATCATTTATATAAGGTAATAAACAAACAGTAATAATTACAGTTTTGTTATTAAAATAATATCTAATAATTATGTTGTTTTAACATAATTTATATAATAAAATTTATATTCATATTTTTATTTATTAATTAATAAAACATAAAAATTTATTCAGTATAAGGTATTTATTTATAGATGTATCTCTCTTTCAAAATGAATAATATATTATCATTATTTTGGATGTAAACAGGTAGCAAATTTAATAAAATTTCTTTAGAGATTTAGTTGTTATTTTAATAAGTTTTAAGATAAAGCTAGTATTGCCAACTCTCCTGGATTTGCTGGGAGACTCCGGAATTTGGCAAAAATTTTTTAATTCTTGGACTCCTAAACTGATGCTTATTCTTTCTGAATTTACTTGACATGCAGATCAACTTTTGGGTTATATATTAAAACAGACTAAAGAATAGATGATAGCATTTTGATTTTGCTGAGAGTAAAAATAATCAAATCTCCTGGAATTTTTTATTCCTGGAATGGAAATCTCAACAAATTAAGTCTTCAGGAATTATTAAGCTTAGATGCAGCAAATTTAAAAAATTAATTGATTATGCAAATTACTTATACAGTGGTATCTCATACTTCAAATGACACTAACTTTGAACAATTTAAAGTTTGAATGCTAAATTCAACAAAAATTTGCCATGGAGTTTGAATGATGCTTTGAAGTTCAAGTTTCATGTGCAGTTAAAAATGTGCTCAAAGCATAAAATAAGATTCTGAATAAAGAAGACAATCTCAGAGCAATAATGTGTTAAATTTCACAACTGTTATAATTAAATGACACATCTATGTTGAGTAATGAAAGCTGTTAAAAATATGCAAAAACTTTCTGTTCAAGCCATTATAACCTTTATTTATTAATCCTGGTATCAGAGAAGTCTGTGGAAGTAACGAAGCCTAAGAAGAAAGTTGTAATATTGATGGTTGAGGTGAAAAAGTTAATTATCATGTGGTGTGATAGTGGCACATATGTGGCAGATCTGACAGCCATGTTTAATAAGCCAAAGTTGATGGTGTGTGACCAGAAAATGCAATTTTCATTTTATTATACAGTATTTATGTATTTTATTTATTGTTTTCATGTTTTAATTTATTATTAGGTCATTTAATTGTGTTAATTTTACCTTACGTTATGTGTATTTGCTGTTTTAAGTTTATGGAAATGGGTATTGTTTAGTTCCGGAAATGGATTAATTCACTTTCCATTATTTCTAATGGGAAAAATTGATTTGGACTTCAAATGATTCAGAGTTTGAATGGTTTCCTGGAATGAATTAAATTTGAAGTACAAGGCACCACTATCTATTTCATTTAAGTTTGTTGTAAAATGAAAGCACAAATTTTCAAAATAGACTTTCTGAGTAATTATATGAACTTATTATTCATTTCGCTGCTGCTAATAGAAAATGGACATTAAGAAAATTCATAATTTTCATATGTTAATATCTGAATTTATGGTAAACCTTTGATGTTGGCCTTATCACTCTGGAGGTCACAAGATCTAATCTGAACAAGCGATAACAGGAATTTTTTCAGGGTAAACAGGTCCTCTTAGTGCCCACAAGACAAAATAAGTAACTTTGTCATGAAAATTCTTCAATCATATAATTTGACCAAAATACTTTCTTTGGATGAAAATATGTAAATCAGATGATACATCAAACTGTATTTTTATACAGAAGATACGTTCCTCAAAAATTCATGTAAAAAAGCCATGCAAAAAAAGATACATTTCCTATAGTAAAATGGGAGATACGTTCCAAGTTATTAAAGGACCATATAAGATGAAATAAATAACTATATTTCATTCAAAAAACATGTAAAAAAGTGATAAAAATTTTCCAGTATACATCTGTTTTGTCAGTGTTGAAAATCTGGTCAGGAACATAGACACCTTTTCTTATTATTTTGGCTAGTTTTTCTGAAAAGCTCTTGGTAGTGTTTTCATCAACAGATACAATTTCCCCTTTAATTTTAATATTGTGAAATGCATTTTCTTAAAAATCCTGTCAGCCATCTTTCACTAACACGAAATTCCTTGTTTCTTCTAATTCTATGTCACGACTTGGTGCATTTATCGACATTTGGCAAATAATTTCATCATTCACTTTTAATTCATACAGATACGCGTTTCAGGCTTTCGCCGCTCTTCAGTCTGTTACATTGGTAGGTTGTGACTTGTGTATACAGTATCAGTCAGGCACCTTCCGTACTTCCCCCCTCCCTCTTATTCTAGTCTCCTGTAGTTTTAATATATATTAAGGCATTGTGGGTTTATGTATTAAATGTTTGTCATGATTATTTATAATTGTAATGGGAATCATGAATTAAACTTTTGTTGTATATGGCAATGTAGACTGGATCTTTGTCAACTCAAACATAATATATCTTACACCTCCATCTTGTTCAAAGAGAATTGTGAGAAGTTCACATTAATTGACTAATACCATTACAACAATGACAAATGTTGAATCTTGGCTAACTTTTGAATGACAAAGGACTAAGACAAAAATGCAACAATAACTAGTGCAAACATTTTACAGATAAAGATGAATGGTAAAAATGCTAGTTTTTGTTGTTGTTGTTGTCAGCAGTATGAACATAACCTGTCTGATAAGCTTAGAATATTATAGAGAGAACAAAGAGAAAAATTTATTGTATTAAAAATAAACACATTATTTTTCTCATATTTTATTTTTATGAAATTGAAGTTTAAAGTAAATTTTATTTTTATTTCATTAATATGTTGAATAACTAATTATTATAGGGAGAAAATGATTTATTTCCAGTGATATTAATTAGCAAATAAAGATTTAAATTTTTTTTTCTAATTTAATTATCTACATTTATACAGATACATATATATCATTATTTTCTTAATTTGAATCTAAATATCATAACATATTATTAATTTAATTTTTTTTAATGTTCTGGTAGAGAAAGAAGTTTCATTTTATGATTATAGAATTAAATTGAAATTTTACAGTGCAAAAAAATGAATTCATTTAATTTTAATTTTTTTGTTTAAGGTATTAAAAGCACATATTCTTCCATTAACAAATGTTGCTTTTAAAAAAGATGGTACTAAGTAAGTATTAATTTTTATTATTGTTTAATATACAAAGTGTAACAAAACTCCATGCCAATATTTTAGGGATAGATTCTATGGTCATAAATAAGCTTAAAATTGTATATAAACATTTTTCATATTCCACTTTGTTTTCAAGAACTGGCCTACCATTAAAATGAACCATAAAAGGTTCATTTTAAATTCCCAGCCAAGGTACTAACATTAACATTGTCATCTTTTTAAAGTAATTTTATTTTTGACACGACTATGTCTTGTCAAAAATAAAATTGCATCTCTAAACTTGTGCTGCTGTTAACAGCTGCACATCTTAGAGGTATGAAGGAGTACATGTCAGGAGTTGCAATTTGGCATAGAGTATTTGGTGCCGAAATCATGTGCACATAAAATAAACCAGAGTTGTAGTTAGTTAGGGGACCGAGAACCAGGTCAAAATAAAATACAAAACGCTGAGAACTGTTTCTACAAACAGACACGAGTGCACATGCATTGCTCGCACTCTCCAAGACATAGTCTCATCCCAAGAATGGCTTTTCTGTTTTACTTGTTTTATGATTGTAAACTAACTGAGGTAAATATATGTTGTCTAAGTAGGCCCTTTGTAATAAATGTAAACAAAACTTTATATACTATAAGATTTTGCAGAGTCCATCTGCTTTACAGTAAAAATAATAGTTGAGAAGCAAGCTTTTTTCAATGAAAATTTACTTTGAATGATGATGATAATAATTTTGTTTTTTAAAAATTAAACAATAATTTACAAAAACTACTCAAAATATCCTCTGCAAAAGCAGATGTTTACTTCTAATGAAAACACTTGAAGCTGAATACTTACATGAAAACAAGTTCAATTTCCATGTACTATATTCAAAAGACAATTTCGATATTGTTATTGATATTGTATTTTTTGATAGGAGGTTTAAAATTGGTTTCTGATATGATTTTTTTGGCAGGCCAGTTCTAAAAAATGAAGCTGAATTTGAAAAATAGAGGATTTTAAGTTTATTTTTATCTTAAAATCTGTCTCTAGAATATTGACAGTTTTGTTACATTCTATTTATTCATTTTAGTTTTTAATATTTAATTTGTCAATAACTAATTTGAAAAATGTTAAATTAACAATATAAATTAATATTTTGATTAAAATATATGAATTCTGTGTTTAATATCAGTAATTTATTGAAAATTTTTAACATTCTGTGTAAAAATGTTAACCAGAAGTCTGTTTCCTATTATTTTAAACAGGAAAATCCTGAAACATAACTAAGACTCAATGAAATGTCTATATATCAATATAAGTAATAAAAAGTGTTAGGATGTAAAATTTTTAAACATCATTTCTTATATCAAACAATCCCCAGAATTTTTTGGAGTCTTTAGTTCTTATCAGATTGTTATTTAATTCAACAAAATATCTTCTATCAAACAATCCCCAGAATTTTTTGGAGTCTTTAGTTCTTATCAGATTATTATTTAATTCAACAAAATATCTCCTCTTTTTAGCTTTAATTAAATTATTGTAAATTCTTTTATTTTCAACGTATTTCTTCCAGTCCACTTCTCTATTTGTTTTCTCAAATCGAGCCAAACTTCTTTGTATCTTTTTCTTATGATAGAAACATTTATTATCGTACCAACACTGTTTATAAGTCCGTAGGAAATTCCCCGACCAGTAGTNCATATTTCTTCCAGTCCACTTCTTGATTTGTTTTCCTGAATCGAGCCAAACTTCTTTGTTTCTTTTTCTTATGATAAAAGCATTTATTATCGTACCAACACTTATATAAGCCTTCTGTACAGAAGAATTCTAAAAGGAATTGGATAGCTCAGTTTTCAAAAGTGATCAATAGTTTTGGTTTCTCAATTACTCCATTTATCTTCTCACCAAATCTAAGTGAAGATTTGTGTAGTCAACTAACGCACAGATGTTAGACATCCTATTATCACGCGACATAGAGGACAACCATTCACGCTTAATACCAAACTGGTATGATACATTATTGAACTATCCAAATATTAACAATTATATTCTATCGAATTTACCTTTTGTAATAAAACGGTTTTTCATTCAAATACGTCTAAATTCAGAAATATTAATGTTAAATAATAAGTTCTACTCATACGCTGATAATTTATATAATGTGGAATTTTCAAAGTATCACTTGTTTTGCCAATGTGAAAAGAGTTATGAATTAAAAAGGAAATTTGATTTGTTAAGTTTAAGTTAGTGCAGATTGGTGGATGAAATGTACTATATATTCCATAGAGCAACAACTCGGTTTATAGTTAATTTATACAATTACGTTAAAACTTTTGTAAATAATTAGAAGGAAAATATTATTGTAATAATATGATGTAATATGTTACATTATTTAAGTATATGTTTTCTCCCATTGTAACAGGCAATTGCCATATTACAAATAAAGTGTAATTTGGATTGGATTGGATATCAAACAATTAATACAGTTGATAACAAATAGTTGCTTTGTATGCAATAATGTGCAGTCTGCATGCATACAGAATACAGACTGCTTCATCATCATCAGCTTCAGCTTATTTTACCATTTCAAGTTATGATGTAGTCTCCCTTACATAATCGACTGCCATTTATGCCTATGTTTGCCTATTGTTTGACACTCTCCACCATGTTTGTCTCCTTATGTCATAGTCCCATCTTAAGTATGGACATCCCTTGGGCCTTTTGATTCCCCGTGGATACCACATTGTGATTCTCGTGGACCATCTGTTGTCAGTCCTCCTTGCCAGATGTCCTGCTTATTGCCATTTGAGAGATTTAATTCTGTGGATTACATTAGTTACCTGGGTTCTTTGCCAAATCCATTCCATTGACCTTTGGGCAACTTGGAGTTTCACTGTTATTTCTTTCATTAGTATCCAAGTTTCACATCTGTAAGTCATGACTGGTAGTATGCATTGATTGAATGCTCTTTTCTTAGGTGGATTGGCATTTTAGACCTGAAAATTTCAGCATTTCGTATGAATGTAGATCATGCTAGTTTGATCCTCCTGTTGATTTCTGGAAGTAGTGAGCCCGATTTGGATATTACTTGTCCCAGGTATTATATTCATCTACTGTTTCTAGTGTGATGCTGTTTATTGTAATGTCGACTGTTTACCAGATCATTGTACATGACTTTCGTTTTTGCCAAGTTCATTTTAAGGCCAATTTCACAGACTGTTTATTATTAAATAAATAACATATTACAATAAAGAGAATTTGTTAGAAAAAATGTAGAAAAAAATTTATGATTAAAAAATAAAGAATAAATTGCAATATATTTTTAACAATGTTTCTGACACTTCTGTAAATTCTAAAATTGGTTGACTACTGTTAATGATGTCACAGAACTGTGTTTAGGCTTTGTATTTTAGAAGATGATATAATGTCATGAGGCATCCTTCAGTATTAGCAATACTCAAGAATTTAAATTTGTACAAAATAGTTTTGAAACTTTCAAAATATACTGATACTCAATAGGTATTGTATTCTTATCATATTTTCTTTGTTGACACTTGGTGCAGTTTTCAAAACAGCTACATATGATTTTGTTATTATGCCAGTTTTATTTGGAATGTAACTCAAGTCTTTTCTTACATATTATTTTCTTAAAAATGTATCAAACTAAATATATATTTTCATATATGAACATTGTTGATATGATATTGAGAAATGAGTACATTTTGTAAAGTTAGATATTAAAAGGACACAGTACCAACAAAATATTAACCAGGGAGACATTCAACAGGATATGCCTACGTGTGAATTTTGATATTGTTAAAGAAATTTCTAAAATGCAGATATGAAATTTTATGAATATACAATTTTTATATTATATTTATTAGGGATTAGTCAATCATTTCCACTGTAATTACCAGACTTGACCACTATATGATTTTAGATTATGGGTATACTTAAAGTGCCTTATTTATCAGGGTTATGTCCCTAACTTAGATGTCGTAAAACACAGAATTTTGCTATTTGTGAGGTAACTGCATGTAAGTCAATTGTGTTCTGCTGTTTAGTTCAATGTTAATTGAATGCATGCTTTGGAACAGGCAGAGAAAACACAAAAAAAAGTAGAACTGTTAGTCTAATTTATTGGATATTTGAACATTTCCATGTGTGCAATTTGACATGTGTAAAAATTTCCATATAAGACAATATAGCCTATGGAGAGTTAGAACTCTTGGAATCTGTGATCATTATAGTTAATTGCAATCAAAGCATTGCCCTTTGTTTTGCAACTACTATGTATTTTCTGAATTTTTTGACAACGTATTTAATACACAAATTGTAGTGATATTACTGCCAATTTAGGAAATTTTGAAATTAAACTTTATGAAATCAAAATTCTATGGTCAGGAAAGTACGTGCACCAAATTTTGTTGTATTTGATCCATTAGTTCTTTCTACAGAGCTTCTGTTTAATTGTAACTACCATGTATTTGAAGAAACATTTTTTTAGATTATTTTGATGCACTTTATATTAATATTTAAAATATTTTTATTATATTTTAATAAATTTAAAATAGTAGAAGGAAATAATGAGAGTTGTAATTTAATAATAGTTTTTAAAATTTTTTCTGATATTTCTAGATTTAAACTATAGATAATAATATAGTACATTCATATATATAATGCTCTAAAATAATGCAAATTATCTACTATAGTTCTTGGTAAAGATAATAATTAGATTTTCTTGCTTTGTGTGCAATTTGACATGTGTAAAATGCTTTATTATACTTTGATACATTTTTATAGTTGCATGCTTTACTGACATTAGTTTCTAAATTACTCTTCCATCATTTTTAGTTGAAAACATTCATTTTTATTTATGATTCTGTTCATAAACTTATTCTAGCCCAAGACTTTAAGACTAAAACTTTTGTGTAAATATTTGTTGTATCTTATTAATACTTCTTAATTTTTAATTACTTATCATTTAAAAGAGAAATTCTTTGTTGCAATTATAGAACTTACCATTGTGATTTATAATAAAATAAATACTTTTTCATTTAACTTTCTTATGACAGATTTTAATTTTTCCTTATTGTTATAAATTAAACTTTCTTTCCAATACCTTTTTTCTCAAATATCTTTACCATTATTTTAGAAATAGAGAAAAAATTTTTATATGTGATATGATTAAAAATTTTTTAGATTCATCACTGGAAGTTATGACAGAACATGTAAGATCTGGAATACAGAAACTGGCAAATTACTTAATTGTTTAGAAGGACATACAAATGCAGTTTTTGTATTATCATTCAATAATCCTTACTGGTAAGTAGTACAGTTCTTTATAAATTTTATTTGCATTAAACTTATATATTTATTATTTAAATTATAATCTAAATGATTCTATATTGATTAATCATATTAAACAAGTTTGTTTAGGTTCTAAATCATATGTAAATATTTCCATAAAAATTACATATAAATAGTCTATAATAGTATATATTATTATTATTCTGTTTCTCAGCTATTGGTTGTATCGCTTTGTTGGCCATTTTACACATCAGATTTCTTCCCAAGAATCTAAGATATAGTAATGTATTTGTGTAGTATATGTCCAAACCCAAGTAGTGTGGCTTTTTGTAGTTGACTGATGAAAATTTTTCCAATTTTTAGATTTTCTAAGTGCTGGTGTAGGTGTTTTGGAACAGCACCCATTGTGCTGATAATCACTGGTGCCACAACTACTGGTTTGTGCCATAACTTTTTAATTTCAATTTTTAGATTTTGATATTTTGTTATCTTGTTCATTTTTCTTCAACTCAAGAGTGTCCTGTTATGGTAAAGTTTTCATGGGCCATTTGTATTCTGAAGTCTCATTGAATCTTAACTTTGGAGTTTTTTATGACTTTTTCGTTGTTATGATCCCACCAGTTTTTTATAGTTGGCACAAGATTATTTTGGCAGGTGTTCTAGTGGATCATTTTAGCAAATGTTTTATGGTGTTGCTTATAGTCAGTTTGTGTGATCTTTGCACAGGAGCTAAGAATGTGGTCCTCAGTTTCTTCTGATTCTAGAAACCCTAGGGTTACTGGCATGCTGGTTAAACTGCGACTAAAATGTAAAATTAATCTGATCTGACAAAACTAGTTGTTAAGTAAACAATCTTCTGAGTGCTAATGACAGAATGTGTAATGGTTTCTGTATGTACAAATTTGCCTCTGTTAGTTGTGTGCCAATGATATGGAAAGTGACAGGGTTCTGTAATGAGGCTTCCATCTGTCTCTGGATGTTGCACAAGTGTACTGTTGTAGTTGCTTTATAGCTGTTCATACTTATCTTACAATTAGACAATCTCTCCTGATGGTCTGTCTGTGATGCCCAAAGCCTGACCACTGTGTATGTGTCCTCATATATCTATTGTTTCCAACATTTCCTTACAATCAGAATGACCTAATGGTAGGCAATTCAGTGAATGGCCATCCTACTTTTCTTGATGATGTGACTTTTCTCAAACTCAGTCAGCAGTTCTTATGCACTGCTCCTGTATAATGTTTTTGACATTTGAACACCTCCATACAACGGATATCAAATGGACTGGTAGAATATTGTTTTTAGCAACAAATCCTAGTTATTTTTGGGAGCAAACTATCATGTTAGAATGTAGAGAAGTATTAGTAAATTTTTCAATCCTGCTTGTATTGTTGAATAGCACACTATTGCCACTGCCAATGTGCTGGTCTGGGAAGCCAGCTTGTAAGCAGTGGCTCTTGTATAATTTGTCATCTCTGGCAGTGGTGCAAGGGATTGACGCACAGCAGTACATTCAGGAAATTTTGCACTCTTATGTGTTTCTATATAGGTATATGTGTTACTAAATATTTTGGATTGTCCAACATGTTGGTCTATTTGGGGTAAACCATGAAATCAGATATTTCCTTATGGTAAGAACTGGAATGCTGGTTAAGTGAAGTTATATGTCTTTATCTAGAGGTAGTGTTGCCATCTTTTTAAAATCGCTGTCCCAGACAGCAGGTCAGGTTTGTTTGAACAGAAGTTCCTGACACATGCACAATGTCATTTTACAATGCAAAGAATAACATGCATGCCATTATTGAAATGCCGGTTCTAAATCAGTTATAGTTAGGGGCTAGAGACTTGCATAGGAGTAATGTAAGTAACCTTAAATTAAGAAAGAACAGCTACAGATGACTTAGCTCTATTGGATGTTGGAGATGTGTACGATCATACATGCAAAAAAAAGAAAAAAAAAAGGTCGACAGGTTACATGCCACACATTGGCATAAACAGACTAACGTGGCAGAATTACAGATGAGTTTCAGTGAGTGTGAGTTCTTTCACTGTTAAAATAGTGTAAATTTGTAAAAATATTTGCAAGAACTTTGTTTCATCGTAATTTCACAATTTCTATAAAATTCCTGGACAAAATTAATAGTTCACCCAAACAGTGAGTTAATTCCCGGACTGTCTTGGTGAAAACTGGATGGGTGATAACATTATCTAGAGGTCGCATTAAAAACTAAGTTATGGCACATAAAAACAAACCAGTTTTTAGTCTAAAACTGAAACTTTCATCATTACATCAAAAACTATGATTATATGTATAATTTCTGCATTTTGTCTTCTTTCTAATGAAGTAAAATACTCATGATGTGCTGAAAGTTTGTTTTTTTTTTTTTTTTATTTTATTGTAATTTGATTCAAAAACACAAAAATAAACATATTAAATATCAGAAACTCACTGTAAATTTTCTCAACTTATATCATTAACATTCTATTTGTGTGAAATTTGAGAGGAAGGTGTTATTTTTAAGGTCAGGGGAGATGGTCAGTGCAGCTCATACTGACTAACTACTACTATTGTCAATAAGCCATTGTTTTATTGTCCTGTAAATGAAAACTTTTTTCTGATTTTAAGTCAGTCAAATTATAATACAGTACAGTGGGTGATCGGTTAACGAACATAATCCGTTCCAAGACTTAGTTCGTTATCCGAATTGTTCGTTAACCGATTATCGATTTACCATAGGTTTCTATGGGAATTTGATTAATTCGTTCTGGAGACC